AAAAAAAAAAAAAAAAAAAAAAAAAAAAAAAAAGTTGATAAAGAAAGTACCCACTTCATTGGGTTTTATGAGAATTAAATAAGATAAAGTACACAAAGCAGAGATCACAGTACCTGGTATCACAGCAAATGCTCAACAAGCAGGAACTAAAAATGATAATGTTTAATTAATAGTAATATAATCTCAGAAAATAAAAATAATTGCATGGCTGCAATTGGATTTGGACAGGGCTACATACCTGTTTTCCACTCAGTTGGTAGAAGGAAAGTTTTTGACCCCAGTCAGCCACAGCCAGGATGTCATTATGCTCCTCTCTAATCAACAGAAGATAAAAGAGGTTATGAAGGGCCATGGCCTGCTGATGAGTATAGCTCTAAGGTCTTAGACAACAGGAAGAAAGCCCTGGCCTCAGGTTGCCAAATGTTGTACAGCTCTACTGAAGCCAAAAGTTGTAATTTGGGCCAACCCATCAATCAGTATTATGGGATGAAGCAGAGGTGAGGTTCACCCTTCCTGGGATCTGCTATTTCACTGAATCTCCTGCCAGGAGCTTATGGTACATTGCCTCAGCTGAAGAAGAAAAACCTCTTATTTTAGAGCTTCCTGGGGAGCAACGCTAAGGCAGACAAAGCTGCAGTGTTGAGACTGCTTTTCTCTTACGTACTAGAAAATGTGGGGAGATGGCGGATAAACCTCCTTTGCCTTGCAAAGGTATTTTTTAATAGACAGGAGGGAAACTTGCTTGCTCTTCCTGAAGAAAGAAAATTAACACCTAAAAATAGGTTATCATACAGGTGGGGTCCTTACCCTGTCCAAGGTTGAAATGGTTTCTGACTGAATCTAATTTTCAAAAAAGAGAAATGGGCTCTCTGAAAACCAACAACTGTCTTTGAAACTGAGAACCTACGGGAATCAGTGCTGTGGGGCTGAGACTGTAGGATAAGCACACAGGACAAACTCCCTTGCCTGAGGCTGGGGAGCAAGCTACCTGGGAATCTAGTTTAAGAGAAAAGTGGCCAGGCGTGGTGGCTCACGGCTATAATCCCAGCACTTTAGGAGACCAAGGCGGGTGGATCACCTGAGGTCAGGAGTTCGAGACCAGCCTGGCCAGCATGGGGAAACCCTGTCATTACTGAAAATACAAAATTAGCCGTGCATGGTGGCGCGCACCTGTAATCCCAGCTACTCCAGAGGCTGAGGCATAAGAATTGCTTAGAATCTGGGAGGTGGAGGTTGCAGTGAGCTGAGATCATGCCACTGCACTCCAGCCTGGGTGACAGAGCGAGAATGTCTCACAANAAAAAAAAAAAAAAAAGAGAAAAGCATTGCTAGCCTTTGAGGCTGGGTCTTAATCTACCTAATGTTGCCTCTGTTTGTTTATTTATTCCAGCTTTTCTGATTCCAGTGTCTTGTGGTCACCTGGAAGCACCACTGGATATATAGGCAGGCAAGGTAAAGCCTTGTTTATAAAACCCAGCCAAAAGTGGCAAATGTCACAGGCACTAACTCAAAACTAAGGGAGGCCCATCTAAGACTCCAATGACTTTGGAGTGGGATTCTTCTAGGGAAACTCAGGTACCATGGAAAACAATTTGTAAAGTCCCAAGCTAGATCTCTATTGCCAATCAGGATATCCTGGCTACCCCAGCTTTCCCCACTCTGGCCTGCCCATGTTTTCCCTACAGGCAATCTCAACCGAAGAGAAGAAAGAATGCCTTGACAGCCAGAATTTGGGTGTAAGGACTTTGGCTAAGGTAAGGGCTTCCTCTCTGGTATGTGTCCTAGAAAATGCAAGGTAAGGTAGGAATAGCGTGGGAACAGGCTAATAAACGTGTCCAGTAATAGAGGAAGTGTTGAATGACGGAGCATCCATGAAAAGGCATACTCTTTAGGCATTAAAATCATGTTCTTGGCTGGGCGCAGTGGTTCATGCCTGTAATCCCAGCACTCTGGAGGCCGAGGCAGGTAGATAACCTGAGGTCAGGAGTTCGAGACCAGCCTGGCCAAGAAAGTGAAACCCTGACTCTACTAAAAATACAAAAAATTAGCTGGGCATGGTGGCAGGCGCCTGTAATCCCAGCTACTCAGGAGGCTGAGACAGGAGAATTGTGTGAACCCGGGAGGCGGAGGTTGCAGTGAGCTGAGATCATGCCACTGCACTCCAGCCTGGGTGACAGAGCAAGACTTCGTCTCAAAAAAAAAAAAAATCCTGTTCTTGGAAGGATTTGTAACGTTACTGGAAAGTGTTCACACTATAATGTTACGTGAAAAAAAAGTAGAATATGACTTAATTATATGAAGACACTAAAAGACTAAGGGAAATACACTAGATGGCTAACAGTGGTTTCTTGAGGGGATGGGGTTTTATCAGAAAAGCTGAACTTTCTCCTTTAGACTTCTCAGTATTTCCTAGAGTTTCTCACAGAATCACTTTATAACCTCCACACAAGTTTTAAGGGTGTGTCTCCTTTTCTTGAAGGAGCTTTCACCCACAGTTACCCCCAAGCCCTGTACTGCTCCCCTTGGCCAAGGAGCTTAACATCTGCCCTGGCAAGTCTATGTGGGCCTGGGCCCTTACCAGGAGGGTTCTCACTCATTGGGACACACTCACAAGTTGTCGTCTTCTTCCTCTGGTTCTTCCTCCTCTGCCTCACTACCCTGACTACTGTACACTGCTGACTCCAGAGAAGGGATTTCCTGAAAACCTCTGTTGACAATGACATCCTCGGCATCGTTATTATCTCTGTTCATCCAGAAACTCTCCCATCGGCTGTAGACAGTTAAGTAATTGTTCAAAATTACATTGCCTAGAACTACACTAAAACTATAATTTAAAATCCTGTCAAGGAGCCCCTGGGGGCTGGGTGCGGTGGCTCATGCCTGTAATCCCAGCACTTTGGGAGGCCAAGGCAGGCTAATTGCCCGAGATCAGGAGTTCAAGAACAGCCTGGGCAACATGGTAAACCCCTATCTCTACCAAAAATACAAAACATTAGACGGATGTGTTGGCATGTGGCTGTGATCCCAGCTACTTGGGAGGTTGAGGTGATGGGATTGCTTAAGCCTGGGAGGTGGAGGTTGCAGTGAGCCAAGATCATGTCACTGTACTCCAGCCTGGGTGACAGAGTGAGATCCTGTCTAAAAAAAAAAATAATAATAATAAAAATAAAAAATTAAAGAAGCCCCTGAACCCTACCTGGAGGAAGACAGCCACCAGATATACAGGGCATCCTGCTTCTCATGAATTAAAAATGGGAGCCTAGAGCCACAAAGTCTTCTGCGGCCACAAATCAAACAGCAGGAACTTGGGGTAGGCTAATGGCCTTTGATGGCATTAGACATACATGGTACTGCATGGGCCGGCAAAATTATTCAGGAAGAAGCATAATAACCTTCTAAATAACCTTTTAAATCAAGCAGGCAACCAACTGTAAAATGACACTGAGCTGGTAAACAAGTAGGACTTTAATTTACCTTCAGTGGACTCTGAAGTGCACTCCAGCCTGGGCGACAGAGTGAGACTCTGTCTCAAAAAAAAAAAAAGAGCATATGAAGCCATTGGTCTACTCTCAAAGTCACACGGACATGGTGTATAAAATTTGAGGAGGTAGGTGCCAACTGCTTGTGTATCTCCAGGCTTTAGGGACGTCTGCAGACGTAATTTTGACTTTCTGAAAAGGGCAGCAAAAAGGCTCGTGAAAAAGCTATTTATTAACAGGTGGGCACATATTCTGCCCAAACTTGGAGCAAAGAACTGAAAAAGGAAAAGGCAAAAATAAAGCCACACAAAGAGCTCCACTAATGATTCATAAGGAAATGGCACTCCTGTGTCACTCACATCCCCCGACACACACACCATATTCATGTACATGTGCATGTACACATACGTGTGTGCACATGTGCGCATGAACACACATCACACACACACTTTGGCTTGGCCTAAATAGCTCATCTGCTTTGCTAAAATCTCCAGGATTCATTCTAAAACTCAACTTTTGAGCAGGCTCTTAAAAAGTTCCTTACATTCCTAGGCAGCAGAATGGTTAAAAAAAATCCATACAAATGGAACAGGTTCTAAAACAGACCATTCAGGTGAGGTGAGAAGACTTTGAATGTAGGGAGACCTCAGGAAGAAAGAAAGCCCTTCTTCATAATGGTGTTTGTTCTAGAAGGAGGACAACTTTAAGAGTACCTTGAAGGGTTCCAGCAGATGGACCATATTGGCGAGAGGGAGCCCCCCGGCCGCTCAATCTTCACTTTCTCCTCACCATTTTTGTTCCGTATGCTGATGATCCCATTGAACATTCCCAGTGCCAGGTACTGACCATCATTTGTCCAGCTGCGCACACAACCAACAAAGGGCGTGGGGATAGGGGAAGCACCCCACAGAAGGTAAAACTAATGAGGATGATGCATTGGTTTGAAATAAAAGTCTGACGAGGTAGCAACAGCTGGGATATGGTTTCATTATTGCTGGTCCTGACATAATAAAGTCAGAGCATCAAACTTAAAATGCTATTTCATTCTGTAATCAACAGTGAGAAGTGAAGGCAACAGCGAGAAGAGAAGTCCATGCCTTTTTCTGAGCTCCCACAGCCCTCTGTACATACCTCTACGACAGGCCTTAGCTGTGTCTACATCTCTGGGCCAGCCACCACTCCCCACTCTCCATCTCAATCCCCTCCCACTTAAAGAGCACCTTAAGAACAGACTTGGTGTTGTCCAACCCCTGGAACAGGGCTTGTTTGCTTGCTCTATAGCAGGTGCTCAACAGATGTTAACAAAAGGGCTATACTCCTAGAACTGGACAGCAAGAATAGCTACCATTCAGAGTGTCTACTGTATGCCAGGTGCTGTCCGGCATGCTTTATGCTCATGAGTTTGTGTGTACTTCACAATAATCCCATCAAGTCAGTATTTTTATCCCTATTTGTAGATGAGGAACATAAGGATCCAGCTCAGAAAGATTTAGTAACTTTCCTGAGGTCACATGGCCTGTCAACGACAGAATCTGGATTCTAATCCTGGTCTAGCATCAAAGCGTGGGAAGGAAAGCTTTCTTCCCCACACATATTGCCTGGACAATGACAGCCTCACATTTTCAAAGAGCCTCCACTCAGTACAGCTGAATGTTGAGGAGGCTTGTTGCTAGGTAACTGCATGAAGGCAACTTGTAGTTCTCTTTTGCTTGATGATCAAAGAAACAGGTCTTTCCCATCAAGGAGACCAAAAAAGAAGAAAAAAGGAAATACAGGGGCCTAAATCAACTACTTAACACAAGACCTTCTCCACTGCATGAAATAAGTGATTTTTAGAGTCTGTTTGGAAGAGGAAGGAACATAAATCCTATCATCAGAGCTACACTTACCTGCAGCAGATGATCTTGCTGCTTGATTTGTTTTTGGAGATAGACTTCTGTTCAGGAGACCACAACCCTTCAATGCACAATAATATGAAAGCAGATGGATTGGTTGGAATACTACCCAGCAATAAAAAGGAACAAATAATTGAAACATACAACAACTTAGATGGATCTCTAGGACTTTATGCTGAATAAAAAAACTCAACTTCAAAAGGTCATATACTGTATGATTCCATTTATATATATAACATTCTTGAATGACAAATTCACAGAAATGGAGAACAGTTGTGGTTACCAGGGTTTGGAGATAATTGAAGGTAAGGAGAGTAGATATGATGATAAGTGGTAACTGCATGGTGATGACTTAGTTCTGTGTTGCACTGGTGGTAATCTACACATGTGATAAAACAGTAGAACTTCATAATACACAAACTTTGTGTGCCAGTCTCAGTTTCCTGGTTTTGATACTGTGTAATAGTTACATAAGATCCACTGAGGCAACTGGATGAAAAGTACATAGACTTCTTGGTACCATCTATGTAACTTACTATGAATCTATAATTATTTCAAAAGAAAAATAAGATAGATTAGTAAAGTTCTAGCCAAGTTTTCAGGGATTTAATTGCCAAAGAAATGAGAGTTTCACTGTTCATAACTCTGACATTGCAACCAGAGTATAATCTAGCATTTAAAATGACAATGATGCTTTCTGAAAATCTACTTTTCTTTCATAGGTCTCAATCACCACACATGTCCCTATCTGAGCTGTTCCTCTTCCGTGGAACACGGGTCACCTAAGGCTTGCTCCCTCCTATCTCAGATGCCCTGGCTCAGTGCCTCATAGCAACAAGTGTGTGTAGACAACATAAGCAAATTCTATTATTTGCCAAGTTGCAAAGTACACTCAAGAAAGTAACTCCAGTGCACAAATAGATTTATATAGTCGAGTGCAACATCAAACAAGTTATTTTTTGCCTTTCTCCTGGTTCAGAATGCTTCCTCCAAACATTTCGAGTTGTACACATAGTATCTGTGTTCCACTAAGCCTGCCTGGAGCCCCCAGCTGGAGGAAACTCCTTCCTCCTGGGCCTCCTTCAGCAGTGCTTAGCAGAGCAGGCTCTGTATGCAATGACCTGGCCTAAGGTCCAAGCCCTGGTTCTTCCACCTACCAGCTAAGGGACCTCCACTTCTTTTTCAGCAGTAGGGTGGGAATGAGAATAATACCTGATGCCTGAGGGGCTGTCATAAAGCTCAAATAGGAATTCATTTCTAATACTTAGCACAATGCCTAGCACACTGCAAGCATTCAACAAATACTATTACTTAATATTACATTTTTTAAAATCCCTCCTTCCTCTAAGGCCACAAGCTCCTTGAGGGTAGGGATTCTGTTTTGTCTTTTTAATCTTCCAATGTAAGCATACAGACCAGTGCTTCACATTAAGAAAATGCTATAAAATATTTTAAACAAATGATAGGCCTTTTTCCATTTATTTATACTATTGGCTTTCAATTCCAGTCTCTCTTTTGAACCTCAAAACTGTATCAGCAGCAGCATGCTCCTTTTAGATAAGAAAACTGAAACTCAGAGGGATTAGGCCTCTGACTCCTCATCTAATGACTCCATTGTATCCACTACCAAGGAATACAGGCTGATGGAGTTAGGAACACAGACTGATGGAGTTGAAAACACAATCAACCATTAATGGAAATAACCTACAAGCCTCTGCTCAAATTTACTCCCTCCCTCTCTCAATCGACATTTTACTGACACCTCTTTTGTGCCAGTACTATTCCAGTGCCATAATGCTGGCACAGGACCATGGAGAGGATGAACCCCTCAAAGTGTTCAGCCCCTCAGGGAGGACAGCTAAAGCCACCTAAACAAGTAATGATGACAAACTGCACAAGATGTACAACTGCAACAGTGAAGAATTTCACATACACGCAGATATGGGTCGACACAAAGGTGAGGACAACTGCACTGTCCCTGCCAGGGTGAGTCAGGAAGGATTCCCAGAAGCAGCAACTACCAAGTTATGCCTATGCCCTTTCAACCTTCTTGGAATTTCCTTTGCTGGAGCCCTTCTTGTAGTCTCTGATGTCTTACCAGAGTAAAGGTCATCATTCCCTGTCTTGGTTTATACACAATTTAAAGAATAACTGTCAGCCTCCCCTCAGCCATTGAAGGTAGAGAAGTAGTACTAACTCTCTCAGGATAAAATCATCATATATTGAATGCATTCCAGCATTTTTAGCCCAGATTTTCAGTTATTCCAAGACAGGACATCAGGAATCAGAACCTACCAAAATCACTGGAGGAACAAGATGCCAGTTGATGGGTAACAGGATTGTAGGAGACACACTGTATAGAATCATTGTGCCTGGGAAGTAAACAACTGTAGATTACTATGTAGCAAACCACAAACATTTCAGTGGCTACAACTGAAGATTTTAATGATAAGCCCACAGCTTCTGACTATAGACCACATACTCTTCTGCAAGTGACCAACAAAAAGCACAGAAATTAGTTCACCTTCTCCTCACCCACTGTTTTCTTATTTATAGAGATAGGGACTCACTATGTTGGCCAGGTCGGTTTTGAACTCTTGGCCTCAAGCAATCCTCCCACCCTGGCCTTTAGGTGCTTTATGTATGGTTGGTACCTCTTACTGTTTTGTGGAGGCCCAGAAATATAAGATGGAGGTGCAAAGAAGGCATTACAGACAAGGTCTGGAAACATGACAAATCCTTAGACAACAATGAAAACTGAGCAAATAATCTACCATGCATAGCATTTCAGCCACAGTTTTATTCCTTCGCTTGTGGGTAATACTTTACTTACATCACTCATTCATTCATTCATTCCCTCAAAAATAGTATGTTGATTTGTACACCCATGTTCGTAGTAGCATTATTCATAACAGCTAAGAAGAAGAAGCAACCCAAGTGCCCATCAACAGATGAATGGATAAAGAAAATGTAGCCTATACATACAATGGAATAATATTTAGACTCCAAAAGGAAAGAAGGCTGAGCCCAGTGGCTCACACCTGTAATCCCAGCACTTTGGCAGGCCAAGGCGGGCGGATCACAAGGTCAGGAGTTCAAGACCAGCCTGGCCAACATAGTGAAAGCCCGTCTCTACTAAAAACACAAAGAATTAGCTGGATGTGGTGGCAGGCGCCTGTAATCCCAGCTACTCCAGAGGCTGAGGCAGGAGAATCACTTGAACCTGGGGGGCAGAGGTTGCAGTGAGCAGAGATCATGACCCTGCACTCCAGCCTGGGCGACAGTACAAGACTCCATCTCAAAAATAAAATAAAATAAAAATCAATAATAATAATTAAAAAATAAGGAAGGAAATGCTGACACATGCTACAACACAGATGAACCTTGAGGACATTACATTACATGAAATAACTCAGTCACAAAAGAACAAATATTGTATGACTCTACTTATACAAAGTATGTAAAGCAGTCAAACTCAGAGAGACAGAAAGTAGAATGGTGGTTGCCAGGGGCTGGGAGTAGGAGGGAAAGGTGAGTAGGTGTTTAAAGAGTAGAGAATTTTAGTTTAGCAAGATAAAAGAGTTTGGGAGATTGGTTGTACAACAATGTAAATGTGTTTAACATTATTAAACTGTAAACTTAAAAAGTAGTTAATATGATAAATTTGATGTCATGCCTATTTTACCAGAATTAAAAAGAAGAGGCCAGCTGCAGTGGCTCATACCTGTAATCCCAGTATTTTGAGAGCCCAGGAGTTCAAGACCAGTATGGGCAACAAAGTGAAATCCTGTCTCTACCAAAAAAAAAAAATGTAAAAATTGGCAAGGTGTCGTGGTATGCATTTGCAGTCCAGCTATTTGGGAGGCTGAGGTAAGAGGAACACCCGAGCCTGGGAGGTTGTAGTTCAAG